TAATTTAACATATTTAATATAAGACCACAATTTTAAAATTACTTACAAAAAAAAAAGATGTGATAAGATTGAAATCAGTTCTGGGACCCTGTTTTTATTCCAGAATGAACCAACCATGCCTGTCATGTGGCAGACAGTCAGTGCCGCCATTTCTCGTGTGACATTTAGAATCAGGACTGTTGTAGCAACCCCCTTGGAGCCTTCAAATGAGTCCTCTGCAGAAGATTATGTGGAGGCTCTTTTTTAATGCTGCTATTAAAAAAAAAATAAAATGTAATGGGAAGAGATAAGCTTTTCCCAGCACAAGCCGGCTCCAATTTTATATTTCCTTAATCTGTTTTATATACTGCTGCAGGAAATGAAACCCAAATTGTCCTTTCTGACGTGTGCATGTGTGGCGGGTGGGAGCGACCGAGTGTAGGGAGACACAGAGCTACAGGAAACAGTTGCTTTGGTTTGTCAGGGATTTACTGTAACTTTACTTTGGAGGGAAAAGCCCTCCTCATCTTCCCACCGGTCTGAAGGGCTGTGTCCTCATGGGGAGCTATTGCCCCAACTCACCTGTCCACCCAGTGGACGCCCAAGACAAGGACCAGGTAGCCTCCCTCAGCAGGTCTGCTTCCACTCATTTCCTGTCCCCTCGGAGTGACATGTCATTGGCACACATACAGAAGACGCTCCCTGACAGACTGCACATTCCTGAATCCTACTTCTTTGTTCCCTGTTCCCTTTCTCTCCTGTTCTCTTCTACTCCACCCGTTACTCATAAAATTATCATGTCTGCTTATGAATTATATCTATATTTAGTTCCATCTTCTGGATAAGTGATGTAGATGGGTTTTTTTTTCCTTTTCAGTTTCTTCGCATGGGTCCTCTGCCCCAGCTCTCTACCCATTTCCTCTCTGCTTCTGGCCACCCCTGTGGATAAAATCTTCTAATCTTAGTGTCTCAAATCTTATATGTAACCCCCCTGCCCCACCTCTGCTTCCAGCGCTGCTTTTACCACCAAAGAAGAGAACACAGAGCCTCCACCAAGATCATCTTGACTAGGAAGGCCCTGTCATCCCTCTGAATGTCTCAAAAGCCATGTCTAGATATGTAGGGGAGCTTCTGGTCCCTCTCCTTAGTCACGAAGACTAGTTTTAAGAGGAGGCTACACGGTACAGTCATGGAGGGAGCATTGGGTTGAGTCCTGAGAGTCAGCACTCACCCTGTGCCCACCTCTCAGGCATAACCTGAGGACTTCAGACCTGATGGTCCTCATGTCCCTCCATAAGGCAGTAGGCATGGAGGTGTGGGAGTGAGGCCTAGGGATAGCTAGATGCCTTCCCCTTCCTGCCTGTGGCTCTGAATTCCAGAAAGGCCCCAAGGCCAGAAGCCTCCTACTGAGGCTTAGGTTCTTGTCCTGCTGGAGGACAAGCAGGAAGGTTCTAGATCAGCCACAATTAACTTTAGCTCCTGAGGAGTAGACCTTATGTTTAAAGCTGCAAGAAAGTGAAACATAACTAGAAGAAAGGCTGAAAGGAAGGAAGCTTGGAGATTTGAACACATGCAGATCAACCATATGTCATCAGAGTCTAGGAAGATGACATTTGTCATTTAGCCTCTGAGTCCTTTGCACAGAACACCCTCTAGAGGAGGAACCTGGGGAAATATGGCCATGAGAGCACAAGATACTGGTGGGAGCATCCTCCTGGGCAACACGGCCAGGCCCCAATGCAGCAGACAGCTTCCTTGAGGGACAGGGACAGAGGTGAGCCCTCCCAGGTCAGGCTTGACCTTCTCCTGGGCTCCCTGTTAGTGGGGCCTGGTGAAGGGGCATTTCTCTTTTATGCAGAGGTTTTCAGGTGATGCTTCTGGGCCATTCATCTTCCTCTGCTGGATTACAGGGACATCCAGCCCTCTGCTGAGTAGAAGGCAAGAGAACACTCAAGAGAGCTTTAAGTAGGAGGATTTCCCATGAAGGACTTGAAGCAGCTCTCTGATCTTGTACTTTCAAGCAGCTTTTAGTCCTGCTTGCAAGAGGCTCTCTGCCTCAGACTTTAAGGTATCTAGATGACTGAGGACCAGCTGGGATCCCCAGGGTGGTGGTGGGGGGGGGCGGGCAGGGGCATGAAGCAGGACCCATTTGTTCCCAGAATGGTATCAGACATTTGTTTTTGATCTTCTGTCCAGAGCGATCTCAGAGAGCTTGGCTGCCTGCAAAGTGGGAGTTCCCCCACCTTCCACCCCTGGACACCCCCACCCTCAGGATGTGCTTGCAGATGCTGTACACCCACAGGACAGACCCAGTCAGGTTCATCAGAACCTTCTAGGTTTTCCAGCTGGGATCGCATCTGGGCTCCGTGAGCACTGCTCTCTTCCAGGCTGGAGACCAGAGCCTGAGTTAGCAGGTCTTCCTCTTCTGTTCTCTTCCCTCCGTCTCTCAACAGCTACATCCAGACTCCTCTGCCTGCCCGTCTTCCTTGACTCCAGCATACAGAGGACTTTTTAAAGAGGCAGAAAGGAAGCCAGGAACACAGGCAGGGAAAGCACCTCTGGGCCTGACCACTTAGCCGCTCCGGGTTTCCTCTGCACAGAATGAAGGAGTCTGAGTTTGTGACCATGTTGCTTCCCAGCTCTGTAGTCTCTGGCTGCAAAGGTTTTCCTGCCCAGGAGTCCCTAGGAGTTTATCCTAAGCAAATATTCCATAAAGGCAAAAAAAGGGTCATAAGTTGGAGGATCTACATCATATCATTTTTTTCTTAAAAATCAGAAGTGATCTAAATTTCTGAGAGTAGCTTAGTGAATGGTCTATAAACATGTTGGAATTGATTGTACACAATCATTAAAATGGTAATTATGCTGGCTATAAATTAACTGAAATAGCTGCTGTTGCTTGTCGAGTGCTACTATATCAGTTATTCTCAGCCCAGAGGACTCGTTAGAATCCCGTGAGCCCCAGCCTCTCCCCTTGAGGGCAGATTTCGCTAATTGTATATGTGGGTTTGTCTCTTTTGAGGCTCCCTGGTTGATGATACTGTGCAGCTGAGGCCAAGAGCCTGCATGCCAGGTACTTTCCTAGGTGGGTGTTTAATAGCCATCAAGTGGTCTTCACACAGCTGAAGGCACATCCACATTCAGCACCATGGATCCGTGCCCCTCCCATCCTGCCAGCCCCCGAGTGGGCAGTGCACGATGGCGCTATTTGTTTCTAATGTATTGACTGCAAAAATATCATCGCTGTATAACAAGCCATCCCAAAACTCAGCAGAGTAGAATGACCACTGCTTTATTACACTTGGATTCTTTGGATCAGGAATTTGAACAGGTCACAGTAGGAATGGCTTGCCTTTTTTCCACGATGTCTGAGGTTTCTGCTGAGAAGACTGGAATTTAGCTCTCTCCTAAATCATCTGGACACCTTTTTTGTTTTTTAAGATTTTTTTTCTTTAAGTAATCTCTACACCCAACATGGGGCTCGAACTCATGACCCTGAAACCAGGAGTTGCATGCTCTTCTGACTGAGCCAGCCAAGGGCCCCTGGATGCTCCTTTATGCACATCCCTGGTGTCCAGGCTGGATTGACTTGGAAGATGGGCTCAGTGAGTGAGGACTGTCACATGTAGAGAACCTACATGTGGCCTCTCCATGGGCTTGGGCTTCCTCAAAGCATGGAGACGTGCAGCTCTGGGAAGAAATGTAATCGTGAACGAGGCGGAGATTGCATGGCCTTTCTCACCTAGCCTTGGAAGACAACAGCATTCCTTATAGTGCTCTCATTATTGAAGTGGTCACAAGCCCACCCAGATTTCAGAAATATTATGGAGGCAGAACTAACAAGACTTAGTGATGGCACTGAACATAGAGAATGAAAGAAACAGGTGTCAAAATGCTGATGCCTAATGTCCTAGGACATGAAAAGAATGCACACAAATATATACATCACAATCACAGAGCATACAGATGAGAACTGGATGCAGCACACAAAAATGAAATCTTATTTTCAGATGACGGCAACACAGTATGTCATCTTTAACATTACTTAATCATTTTTAGTAGCTCTTTAAAAAAAGATTTTATTTATTTATTCATGAGAGACACAGAGAGAGAGGCAGAGACATAGGCAGGGGGAGAAGCAGGTTCCCTACAGGGAGCCCGATATGGGACTCAATCCCAGGACCCCAGGATCACGACCTGAGCTGAAGGCACTCAACCACTGAGCCACTGAGGTGCCCCTTGTAACTCTTCTTAAACCCAACCACCCACTGAACCTCTGCACTGAAAACCCCTTAAGACCATTGTTGGATACCACACCCCAGCAGGACTCAAGTCATGAGTACGCTCTCCAAACACCACATTAAAAATTCACCCTCTTACTGTGTGGCTTGGAGAACCACAGTGCTATTCACACTATGGACTGTGGGGTTCATTCATGCCACTAGGATCCTGGGAAAAAGATGAGTGGGCAGGGGCCTACCTACTTTGGGATCAAGATGTTGCCACGTGGACTGGGGAGCCCCCCGCCCCGGGCCCTGAGGCCTCCACCCAGCCCATCCCCATGGTGTTGCCAAAGGCTCTTGGTCTCTTTGCAAGAAAGCATTCAAGGACAGACCAGACACAACAGTTGAGTGGTGCAAGTAGGTAAGTTTATTAAAGTGAGAGCATACTCCCAAAATGTGAGCGTGAGCAAGCTCAAGAGAGCTGCTTGCTCTGGGGTTTGGGTCTCTATCTCATTGACCGTTGTTCACTTAAAGGGATTTCTTGGGAACAGTGTTCTGGGCCTTTTCTCCCTTACTAGGTAGGTCAGGGTTTCCAGCCTTCTTTGTCTTGGACCTGTCTGGTTTGATCCAGCTTCTTGGGGCTTTGTTTTGGAATGCTTCCAGGACAGGTCTCTAACTCTTCACCCTACCCCATAGCTGCCCATGACTCTCCCTTTGCGGGCCTCCAGGCATCCTGTTAAAACCTAACTAACTAACTGCCTTCTCTAACATGATCTATCTTCTTTCTTTTTCCTTTAGGCTTTTGATATTATGAGAGTGACACACGGCAGAGAGCACAGCCTGATTGAAGATTTGATTCTCCTTTTAGAAGAATGTGACGCCAGCATAAGAGCATCCTAAGGGGTCAAATCGAGGGAAGGATGTCTTCTACCCTTATCGAATGCCTTATAGAGGTCTCACGCCTATACTGCTGTGTGAGCCTCCCTACTGGGGATGCTACTCTGTGTTTATGTAGATAAAACAAAGGCAGACATACAGTGCGCAAACCACAAGGATCATTAGTGGTAGAGAAGCACAATTATAATAAATATAAACAATTTGGTTGAAAATGCCGTCTGGTAATCACTTGCTTCCTCATTGGTGACTTTAATGTTTAAGATCTCAACATTAATGAAAGAAAGCTCTATTAAAATCTTGGTAGAATAAGTTGTAACTTTCTCCTTAAATATCTGTGGGGATAATTGGATTAAAAATCAGTGTTTTCACAAACAAAATCTTAAGGTCTATTTTGTTAAGCAAGTGGAGTTTCAGATGTTTTCTTTACTATTTGTCATAAATGATATATATATCCCTTACTTATTCCCAATACATCTCTAATACAAAGTTGTGTCCTGAATCCTAGAAGTCATTTTAGGTGTTAGTAGAAAATCATAGGAAGTCATAATAGAAGAGAAAAAAATGTTTTTTCAAATGTTTCGTGGTTCTTTGTGTAACTCTCTTCTGTGCATTGTGTTCCACTTTGTACATGTCATGCTTTTTCTTTTCTTGGAGTTTTTTTTCCTAGAATTCCCTACATCTGATTGTGGGATATGCATACCCCAAAGCTCCTTTATCTTGCATCCCAGCTCAAAACAATCTTGTTTTCATCTCTTCTTCCTCTCTACCTGCTTTTCCACCTTTCTGCATGATCCATATTCAAAGAAGAAAATAATGAGTTCTCTTATGGCTTTGCGACCAAGTAAGCAGTTTAGTCCCTCCTGCATAGATGGGCTCGGGCAGTAGTGACAGCCCTTGGGTTCTAAGGGAGGCTCCATCCCCTACCTTACTTTCCAAGCAAGGAAGGGAGATACATACTGGGGCTGGTGTCCTGTTTCCTGGTCCCCAGGATCTGCTCTGTCCTCCCAGCGGGAGCAGCAAGTCCTCCAGCCACGTGGCCATGCTGGGCTCAGGCAGCATCAGAGTGACACGTGGACACCTGATCAAAATGGAAGGAACCAGCCTCACTTGGCAGCAGAGAAAGCTGATCACCAGAAGCTGGAGTCTACTTGCCGAACACTGGGCGGGCAATCACCTTGGTCATGGAGGTTGTGCACAGTATCTGGCATGCTGGTCAGCTCCTAACGCTTTCTATCAGCCAGCTCCTGCTGGACCCACAGTCAAGTATTCAGCATATTTCCAGAACATACAGTATCTCTAATAAGCACAATTGTACAACAAAGGAGGTATTTTGAAGCACATTTTATAACTAAGCACACTGAGGCCCACAGTCAATGTTCTGGAATCCCTCCTGAATGACCTTGAGAAAGTGGCTTAATCTCAGTCTTTAGGAACGACCAGAGCTGCCCAATACCACAAATACATATTGAATGGTTACTGTGATTTTAGAAAAAAGCAGCACAGAGACTGAATAAGTTATTCCCCTTGTCTTCAAAATGCACAGGGTCTCGTATAGCATTTGTATTAGTTAGCTTTTACTGTATAACTGTATCAAAACTTAATGGCTCTAAATAACACTTGTTCATGATTCTGAACATCAGCAGTGGGCCTGGGCAGTTCCGGTTTGGCCCGGGCTTGGCTGATCTAGCACTGTCTGCAGTTGCCAGTGGGTCAGCAGGGGGACATGAAGGTAACAGGGTCACACAGCTCATTGGGTTGGCCTGGCCTCACCCATGTGGCAGAGGGTTCCAGGAAGAGTCAGTGGGCAGACTTCAGTGTGCAAGCATGTCCCAGGTCGGCTTGCATTGCATCTGCCAATATTCCATGGGCCAAAGTCAATCACAAGGCCAGCCCAGAATCAAGGGTGGGTAAAGCCTCTGGCAGTTATCCTATTGCAAGGATGTGGGATTGTGAAGAGGAAGATGTTATGACCATCAAGGCAATCCACATAGCAGTGCTGTGTTGGTGTTCTGGAACATTCAGTGAATCTAATGAAATTCATAGACCTTCTTTCTAGAAAACCATCTCCATCTGACCAATTTGTTTTTAGGATCAGGGACTCTTGAACTCCCTGTGGTCCATCAGTGGATTCCTGGAGGCCTTTATCTAACGAGAAATAGACTTGCTACCTTTCAAAATCACTTATGGGAATTACATTGGCTCGTCATTTTAAATTCATTACGGAAAGAAAAAAAGCCATAACAGAAGGCGCTGGTAGTAACTCACAGGCCAAATGAGCAGGGTTCACCGACAGAACCCTGTGTTTGCCAATTTTCTGAGTGAAATTTACAGTCAGCAATGATCCTGGATAAAGAGATTTGCCCTTATGTCTCCTAGAGAAAGCGTGACAAGCTTTTAAATCCCTCTCCACTCACTTTCCGGTGTCTGAGAGAAAGGTCCTTAAGAGGTAGGGGCTCTGCTTGCATCAACTTCTAATAGAAGGCAAACATTTAAGCTGTGGTCAACATTTACCCAGTATCTTCACAGCAAAATAATTTTGGAGAAGGGGGACGTGGATGGAGAGCACAGTGTAAAACCTGTGTCACCAGTGACTGATGATTTACTCCTGCACCAGCCTTCACGACTGTGATTTCATTAATCCATAGTCATCGTAGCGGCAGGCTTTTTTCACATCAGTAACTTGACGCCATTAGTTGTTCCTCTGGGATGAGAGCACATTTAAACTGAAAATGAATACAGTGGGCATAATTTATAGCCATGCCATATGAATGCCAAGAGTGCAAGGAGGAAGGCTGCCTGGAAAGCTGCCTCCCTCTGGGAGCACCAAGCAGGCCTCCTCCAGCCAGCACTAGGCAGCAGAGGGTGCCCAGTGCGTCACGAGGCCAGACAGCCACAAACCACAGAGGTCCTTCTGTCAAGCTTCACTGCAGGAATGAAAGAGAAAGGCAAAGGGGAGAAAGCCCTCCCCTGAGTTAGGTCTTGAGAATTCTCTTCTAGCCCAATCAGGAAATGATGCTGCACTCAGAGGAACCCACTGGGATTCCACAGGAAGAAGATTCTGGGCATTACTTTTGGAGATTATAAAATCCTATGACAAGGAATCATCAGCAGAAGCCTCAGGAAGACATTGGAGCCCTCCTTTTACCTAAGGTCTGTAAGAGATCAGGCTGAGAAGGGTCAGCACCCCCACCCCACCCCCAGAGAGGGACATTCCCTTAAACTTTTCAAGGCTTGGAAGCATCAAAATGCTATGATCTCACAGTCAATGTAGTCAAAACCAATTCAGAACATCAAAGACCAGTTCCCTGCCTCATATACTGCGCTCCACACTACCATCATCTTTCCAGCTCTCAGCACAGAAACTGAGTCACCAACTCTCTCCTCCAACAAAGGAATAAGTTCTGTCCATTCGTCATCCAAAGAGCTTTTTGCCATTTGGGGCATTTTTATTCCTTACTGTCCCCAGGCTCTTTGCAGGTCCCGGCAACTCATTCCTCAGCCCCGGCCAAGACCTCCTTACCAGTCTCACCCATCACCCCTCCGTTCTCTTCCTCCATCCAGAGCTGCCAGAGTCACCTCCCTAAAATACCTGCTTCCTTGTCTCATAACCCCTCTGCTCCAAAGCTTACAGTGGCTCCCCACTGCCACTAGACTCAAAGTCCAGTCTTCAGACTGGCATCCATGGTCCCAAACAGCTGAATCTTAGACTTCCTGTTCCCCATGTGCACTGCCACTCTAGCTGGGTCAGTACCTGCCCGCCCCCCCCCACAATCCTCCCCATTCCCTGAATCACGCCCTCTTCTTTGTCACTTTCTTGTTTGTTCATACTGACTAAAAAATCCCTTCTCCATCTGTCTAAACCTGAGCAGTTCTCAAAAACCTAGCCTGAACCTCCTTCCTCCTGTACCTTTCCTTCTTTTTAAATGAAATATGGTCTGGCCTGTAACTGTTCTGTAACCCCTCTCATCTGCAATTATCCTATGCAGTGTTCAAGTCCTATCAGCTTTGGCTCTTGGGATTTCTTCAGGTTGAATGTCCTATGTGTTCCTATCACTTTGGAAACACCTTTTACTCAGAGGTACAACAGGATGTTTCAGACTCACTTTATACTTTCCCATTCAGACTTGGAACTAGCTGTTCTTTAAGGAGCCTTGGTCTTGTTTAAATTTTTAAATTTTTTTCTACAGTTATATGTCCTTAGGCAAAAAAATGTATTGTCACAACACTGTGTTTAAAAGTTTACTTATTCTTTTCAGTGTGGTTATAGAATCCATTTGATATCCACTTAGATTTTTTCTATTCAACTGTAAGGTTTTCCCCATTACTGCTTTATATTGGTATATAAAAATCAATATAAATGCATAATATAAGCATATATTTTGCTGTTACAAATAATGCCATAATGAATAACCTTGTGCATATGGTTTTTTTGTATTGCTGGAGATGTGTCTTTAGGATAATTTCCCAGAAGTGAAATTACTGAGTCAAGGGTAAATGCATATGTAATTTTTTTAGGTAATGTCAAATTTACCTTGAGAGGGGTTATATAACAATGCCTGCTTCCACCTCAGTCTTGCCAACATAATGAGTTTTTCGGCTTTTCAATTTTTTGCTAGGCTGATGGCTATATTAGTATATTTTTCATTTTCTTTTGGTGGAGTTTGATGTCTTCAAATATTTAAAAGCTTTTTGTCTAATTTTTTGTGAACTATATTTACATGTCTTTTGTCATTTTTCTTTTAGATTTTTTGGGCCTTTTTTCCTTTATCTTTAGTTGTGTCTATATTAGGAGGATTTTCCCTTTATATGTAATGTTTAATCTCTGTTTACTTGTTTATTTGACTTTGCTTTAATATTTTGCTCTGAATTCCTTTGGAAAACATTTTCAAAAAAACATTCCATAATAAATCTACTCCAGAATAAACCAGGGTCCTGTTGTAAAGTTAGGCACCACTAACCTTCCCAGATGGTCCTTGGTTCTTAGCACTTCCTGAATTGAGTGGATATTAAAAACAAAAAACAAAAAAACACATTCTTCTACTGCCCATTTTACAATCTTCCTGTCTTTAGCCAGCATCCTCCCTGGTCAGGGTCCTTTACCTGGTGGAATGATTCAGTTTACTATTCCTGAACTGTCTGGTACTTAGTGGTCTTGCCTTTTAGGGTTGCCTCAATATTCCATTAAACTAACGTGCAGGTTAGAGAAGCCCCTGGTTCACACTTGGTCTTTCTTCACCCCACTATATGACAGGGATTTGATATTTGGATTCAGTCAATCCAACCAGAACAGTAATCTGCTTCTTTGTTGATTCAGAGGCATTATGAGCCCCAAATGACCCTAAGGCCATATCAATTTCCACAACAGTAGAGTCATTGTTGCATTTCCTGGAGGAATCATGTCTTCCTTAGAAACCCAGACATATAAACTAGCAGATCTAAAGGTCAGGGGATAGAAAGCAAAAATTCCACAAATACAGTATTAGTTAATTGTGAGAAAAAATTATTTACATCCCCATTTAAAGATAAGTGCCAACCTAGCATATTAAAAGTAAACATGGAATAAAGACTGTACGTGTCCCAAATGTGCTTCCCATAAGTACTGTCTTAGGACCTACTGGATGAATTTCATTCTTTAATTTTCTTTTTTTACAATATATTTATTATATTTCTTATTGAAGTATAGTCTTAATTCCATAACTGGGAGACTGTACACCCCACTTCGCTTCATCATTTTGCCCATATTCTCACCCACTTCCCCTCCAACAACTACCCATTTATTGTCTGTATTTATGGGCATTTCTGCTTTTTGTTTGTTCATTTGTTTTTGTTTGTTTTACATTACACATATAAGTGAAATCATATGGTGTTTGGGGGTTTTTGTCTGAATTATTTCACTTATGATAATACCCTCTAGGTCCATCCATGTTTTTGCAAATGACAAGATCTCGTTCTTTTTCATGGCTGAGTAATATTTCATTATATATCACATCTTTATGCAATCATCTATCACTGAATACTTAGTTTGCTTCCATATCTTGGCTATTGCTAACAATGCTGCAATAAACATAGGGGTACATATATCTTTTCAAATTATTGTATTCATTTTCGTTGGATAATTATCCAGTAATAAAATTGCTGGATCATATATTTCTATTTTTAATTTTTTGAAGAAATTCTATACTGTTTTCCACAATGGTCATACCAATTTACTATCCCATCAATAGTGCACAAGGGTTCCCTCTTACCCACATCCTTGTATTGCTATCCCAAAACTTGTTACTTCTTGTCTTTTAATAATGGCCATTCCAAAAGGTTTGAGGTAACACCTCATTGTGGCTTTATTTGCATTTCCCTGATGATGAATGATGTGTCTTTTCATGTGTCTTTTCATAAAGGGTCTTTTCATGTGTCTGTTGGCCATCTAGATGTCTTCTTTGGAAAAAAATGTTGTTTCAAGTCCTCTGCCTATTTTGATTAGACTATTTGTTTGTTAGGTATTGAATTGTATACATTCTTTATATAGTTTGAATGTTAACTCCTTACCAGACATATCATTTGCAAACATATTCTATTCATTAGGCTCCTTTTTGATCTTGTTAATGGTTTCCTTTATTGTGCAAAAGCTTTTTAGTTTGGTATAGTCCCAATAATTTATTTTTCCTTTTGTTTCTTTTGCCTGAGGAGACCTATAAAAAAAATTACTCCCAAGGCTGATGTTAAGGGATTAATGCTGTATTTTCTTATAGTCTCAAGTTTCACATTCAGGTATTCAATTCATTTTGAGCTTATTTTTGTATGTGGTGTTAAAAGGTGGTCCAGTTTCATTATTTACATGTACTGTCTAGTTTTCACAGAACCATTTATTGAAGAGACTGTCTTTCTCCCCATTGTATATTTTGCATCCTTTGTGGTATAGTAATTGTCCATATAAGCATGATTTCTGGGCTCTCAATTCTGTTCCATTAATCTGTGTGTCTGTGTTTGCACCAGTACCATACTGTTTTGATTACTATAGGTTTGTAATATATCTTGAAATCTGGGATTATGATACCTCCAGGTTTATTGTTCTTTCTCAAGATTGCTTTGGCTGTTTGGGATCTTCTGTGGTTCCATACAAATTTTAAGATTATTTATTCTAGTTCTGGAAAAATACTATTGGTGTTTTGATAGGGATTTCATTGAATGTGTAGATTGTTTTGAGTAATATGGACATTTTAACAATATTAATTCCAATCCATGAGCATGGTATATCTTTCCATTTGTGTTGTATTTAACTGCTTTCATCAGTATTCTTAGTTTTCAGAGTACATGCCTTTCACCAACTTGGTTAAGTTTATTCCTAGATATTCTTTTGGGTGCAATTATAAATGAATTTTTTTATTAATGTATCTTTCTGCTACTTGTTTGTTAGTGTATAGAAACACAACAAAATCCTGTATTTTAATTTTGTATTCTGTAACTTTACTGAATTCATTTATTATAAGAGTTTTTTGGTGGAGTCTTTACGGTTTTGTTCTATGTATAGTATCATGTCACTATCTGCAAATAGTGACAGTTTTACTTCTTTCTTACCATTTTGGATGCTTTTTATATCTTTTTCTTGTCTGATTGCAATGGCTATGACTTCCAGTACTATGTTGAATAAAAACGGTAAGAGTGGACATCCTTGTCTCATTCCTAATCTTAGAGGAAAAGCTCTTGGTTTTTCACCATTGAATATAATGTTAGCTGTGTGTTTATCATATACAGTCTTTTTATGTTGAGATTATTTCTTTTAAACCCAGTTTGTTGAGAGTTTTTATCATAAATTTGTTGAATTTCATCAAATGCTTTTTCTGCATCTATTGATGATCATATGGCTTTTATATTTCAATTTGTTAATATGTAATACATTGATTTGTGGGTATTGAACCATCCTTGCATCCCCAGAAGAAATCCCACTTGATGGTAGTAAATTAATAGAATGAATGAAATGAAAAGAATAAGTATTAACTCTTCTTTAAATGTTTGCAAGAATTCACCTGTGAATCTGGTCTTAGACTTTTTTTGTTGGGAGACTTCTGATTTTTGATTCAATTTCATTACTAGTAATCAGTTTGTTCAGATTTAAAATTTCTTCCTGATTTAGTTTTGGAAGATTGAATGTATCTAGGAATTTAGTCATTTCTTCGAGATTGTCTAATTTGTTGCCATATAATTTTTCATCATAGTCTCTTATAATCCTTTGCATTTCTGTGGTGTCATTTGTTATAGATTCTCCCCCTTTCATTTCTGATTTTACTTATATGGGTTCTCTTTTTTTCTTGGTGAGTCTGGCTATAAGTTTATCAATTTTGTTTATCTTTTTCAAAGAACCAGCTCTTGGTTTCACTGATTTTTGTCATAGTTTTTTTAATCTCTCATTTATTTCTGCTCTGATCTTTATTATTTCCTTCCTTCTACCAGCTTTCATTGTTTACCTTTTTCTACTTGCTTTACATGTAAGGTTAGATTGTTTATTTAAAGTTTTTCTTGTTTCTTGATATAGGCATGTATTGTTATAAATTTCCCTCTTCAAATGGTTTTCACTGGGTCTCAACGTTTTGGGACTATGTTATTTTCATTTGTCTCCATGTATTTTTAAAATTCCTCTTTAATTTCTTGGTTGTTTAGCATGTTGTTTAGCCTTTACAGGATTATACTCTTCTCATTTTATTTCCTTGTGATTTATTTCTAGTTTCATACTATTGTTGTTGGAAAAGATGCTTGATATGATTTCAGTCTTCTTAAATTTATTGAGACGTGTTTTGTGTGATCTCTCATAGGGAATGTTCCATGTGCCTCTGGTTGTTTTTGTAGTTCTCTGTTCTCTTCTTTTCCTTCAATCATTGACTTTCTTTCATGTTGTGCTTGGCTTCCTTTCTCTTTAGTTTTCCTGTATCTGTTATAGGTTTTTGGTTTGTAGTTACCCTGCCATTCATATATGCATCCTAAGCATATGGTCACTTAAGTTTGTTGGTAGCTTAGGTTTGAACACATCTTTAAAAGAACTTTAAAAAAATAAAAAATAAAAAAAATAAAAGAACTTTATTTTACTCCTCCCTCCACATTTTATGTATATGTCATCATATGTTACATCTTTTTTGTGTGAATGAGTCCTCTAATTTTTGGTACAATTGAATTTACTGCTCTGTGTTTTAATTTTAATACTAGCTTATAAGTGAATGCTCTTATTACCTTTACTATATGATCGCTTTACTCATGAAATTTTTTCATATATATATATAATTTTTATATATATTTTTTCATATATATATAATTTTCTTTTAATTTAATGGCCTTTCTCTTTTGGTTAAAGAAGTCTCTTTAACATTTTTTGTAAGGCTCATTTAGTGGTGATGAACCCTTTAAAGTTTTGTTTGGGAAACTCTTTCTTTCTCTTTAACTCTGAACAATAATCCTGCCAGGAATTCTTGGTTGTAGGATTTTTCCCTTCAGCACTTTGAATATATTATTCCACCCCCTTCTGGCCTAAAAAATCAGTGGGTAGCCTTATGGGGTGACCCATGTATATAACTAGTTGCTTCTCTCTTGCTGCTTTTAACATTCACTCTTTATTTTTCACCTTTGACATTTTAATTTAATTATATATCTTGGTGTGGATATATAACATCCTTGGGTTCATCTTGTTTGGAACGCTCTGTTTCCTCAACCTGGATGACTGCTTCCTTCCCCAGGTTAGGGAGGTTTTCAGCTATTATTTCTTTAAGTATGTTTTCTGCCCCTTTCTCTCTCTCTTATCCTTCTGGAGCCTTTT